CGACTCAAGGGGAAGATCAGCCAAGTGCTTATACTTCCTCTTCAAGCTAACCACCGTATAGGAATGGTCTGCAAGACCCAAGCGCTGTGAGGTGAACGCTACCCTAATTCGAAAGGTCCTCTTGGGATTAGCAAGGGCCGATATAGTGAATGAGACAGCGGATCCTCGGAGAGTCTGCACCTCCTGACGGATGGTACGAAGGGCGAGCTCTTCTGGCTTCTTCTGCAAGTCTAAGATGTCAACCGCTTCTGGGAGGAGCATTGTGCGTTCTGACCCATCGTCCAGAATCGCATAGGTGTCTAACGTTCTGCCTCCATTTCGCAGTAGCACTCTGACAACTTTCAACAAGACACGAGAAGTAGCTGAGGGCCTATCTACATAAAGAACATCTGTGCTGGTACTCACCAGGCAACTCTCAGATTTCAGAGGCTCGGCTGAAGAGCGTGAGTTGGCATCATGCAAGACTCTCAAGTCTTTCCCATGACAAACATCACAAAGCCTCTTAAGATCACACTGCGCCGCCATATGTGCTCTGCCGCATCTCCAACATCTCTTATTGGCCCTGATCCATTCAATAACCTCCTCTCTCGTGAGCTTCTGTATAGCTGGACACTTATTGAGGAAGTGTTCTGTACACTCACAATATGGGCAATACGGCTTCACTCTGCTCTTCAGTTGCTGCACTGAAGGGCCTTCCGTCTTAGTCGCTCTGCTCTGTCCGCTCTCCGATCCATGCAACACTGTAGCTGCTGGTCTGCTGCGTTTCCTCTCAACTCGATAGCCTGATGTCCCCTGGCCACTGACACCTGAAGTGTAATCATAGCCTTGGCACCAAGACTCATAACGAAGCCACTTTGCCAGGTCAAGCAATGTATGTGTGTGACCAGGATGTTGAAACATCTGACGTCGAAAGTTTGCTCGCATCTCTGGCGGAAGCTTAGTGAGCAATCGAGCAACATGTGAGCCACATCGTAACTTAGCAGAGACAGGGAGGAGTGTGGTAGAGGTAGGAAAAACCCAACAGACAGACAGTGACAACAAAGAACAACATACTGTAGAGAATGACAGTAACAGCAGACAAATGGCATAAACAGACAGCACACAGACTCTACAACATCCTCAGATTCTTTTTCTTTTGTTTTAACTGTGTACATTTGTTATAAACGTGTGCTCTTTAAAAAGTAGTAAGCATCGTTTGCCAGACACATACATTAAATGTTTAAATATCTGTTACATATATGGTACTGCTTAAATTATTTCACCATCTCTACAGAAATGTAAGTAGTGAATGCGTGTGTCTGTGGGTGGGGCTGTGTCGGTGTGGTAATGTGGGCCGGTGTGGCTATAGTGCCAGGGCTGAATTTTTGTCCCAGTCCGCCCCTGGGCTATATCGACCTCTGTGCGCATTTAATGCATATAAGGTCGCAGTCGCACAACTCTTTCGCTTTCGATTTTAATTCAAATAATTTTTTGTGCAATTTTGACAGTCATTGAGGTGCCTATCTTGACACTGTTTTGTAAGGTAAGATTTATCTGAAATTTCAAAAACAAAGTATAGCTACTTAAGTTACATGTTACTAGGGAACTCTGTTTCCGGGTCTAGCGATCAGGATTTGTTGCAGTTTCGTAGATGACATATTTTATCATTAGAAACATGGATATTCATTGTGTAAAAACACGATGTTTATGCTTTAAAGTAACACATAAGCACGATTTTGTGCCTCTTTTTGATGATACCAAAAGGCATTGCTCACTTACAGACTGGACAAGACGTTGTGCAGATTACTTTGATTTAAAAAAATATATTAGTAAATGTTGAAATTAATATTAACTAAGATTAATAAATGCTGTAGAAGTATTGTTTATCATTAGTTTAGTGTTAACAAATGAAACCTTATTGTAAAAAAAAAAATATATATATATATATATAGGATTCCAACAAAACAAAAAGAAACTTTAGAAAACGTAGTTCTCAATGGAACTTTTAAGATTACCAAAAGGGGGGAAAAAAACTTTAAGACATTAAAAGGAATTTCAAGAAAATAATTCAGTGTGATGTCTTTGAATTGTCCAGTAAGACTTTATTCCAATATGAATAGGGATCTGATAAACATTACACAACATTTAATAAAAATGAAATCAAGATTTAAAAGCCAGTTTCACTTTATCAAGTAGCATATAGTTTGATTCTTAAAGGAGGCTTATTTAATACTATTAGTATCCTTTAGCATTACTTTCAAACTTACAAATTTAGAATCATTTTAAACATTCTAATAGGATATTTTGACTAATGAATCTGTGGTCAAATATTTTAGAAAAGTGAAAAAAAGTGACGTGACATGTGGCCAAGTATGGTGACCCATACTCGGAATTTGTGCTCTGCATTTAACCCATCCAAGTGCACATACACTGTAGTGAACACACACACACACACACACACACACACCGTGAACACACACCCGGAGCAGTGGGCAGCCAATGCTGCGGTGCCTGGGGAGCATTTGGGGGTTCGGTGCCTTTAAAGGTAAAGAAATATAGCTTGATTCAAATTTAGATTCAGACAATTTTTCATTTCAATCTGTTCCATACAGATTTTATGTCATGATAAAATATTTCACATAAGATCTTTTTTTTTTCAGAAGGAAGCTGATGCCAACAGGTGACTAGCATGTCACATCACCTTGAATTCACCAGACACATGAAGCCTAAATGACAGAGAAGAGTAATCTTGCTTGTTACAAGGCCAAAGTGTCTCAAAACACAAAGTCACATAAATGTATACTTCCTATTGAATGTTATTGCTGTTGTCTGACCCAATTTATGAGTCAGTGGCTGATCAAATCCGATCAGATTCTGGACCAAATACTCTAAACAAGTACACATGTTCACATTTAATTCACGTTTAGACCACTAGACCGCCATATAAAAATATCCAGTAAAGGATTAGGGATCCTCACACCTTTTTGTGCCACAGATAACTGCACTGTGAGAATCACAGATGATAAAAACCTAATTGACATCACTTTTATAAATTAAAGGGGTGGTTGATTGCAATTTCCCTTTTTTAATATTAGTTGGTGTGTAATGTTGCTGTTTGAGCATAATATCTGCAAAGTTACGACACTGAAAGTTCAATGCAAATGGAGATATCGTCTTTTAAATTTATGGCAGTTTAATGCCTACAAAAACGGCTCGTATGGACTATAACAAGCTACTTCCCGGGTTTGTGACATCACAAACCCAGAAATTGATATAACCCCGCCCCCGGGAACATGCAATGAAGGGGCGAGGCCATGTTGCGCTCCTTTAGAGAAGAGGAAGAGTTGTTGCCATACTGTCAAAACTAGGGGTGCACGAAAAAATCTATTCATATATGAATCGCGATTCTGTCTTAAGTTCTAACGATTCTAATGGATTCACAAGTTTCAAAATCAATGAAAAAAAAAGCTACATTTGTTGCTAGGTGCTTTTGGAAGAAAAAGTTGCTAGGGTAATCTGAAAAGTTGCTAAATCTAGCAACAAAATTGCTAAATTGGCAACACTGGTCACGTGGAATTCCTGTCTTCAGCGCATGCGCAAAATAAGTTGTTGACTCAACTCAATTCATATTTGTAGTTTCAGCAGAAATTAATAGAGCTCTTTTAATTTCCCCTGGATTTAGTTTAGACTGATTTGAAATAACTGTGTACATACCTTCAACTGATTTGTTTTATTTGTTTCAACATACTCTATTTATTTTAATCAAACAACACCCAGATTTCATTTTTTTGAGTGCATCCTTCTAGAACAATGTGCATTTATGTTAAAATTGTAACATAAATGGTCAAGTTTAGTTATTCTTATTTCTTAATGGAAAACGCTAAAACTGGCACCGTTTTGGAGAGAAATGGGCTCTCATTTTAACCCATATCATGGTGTTTGTATTTGCACTGTTCTAAACATTAATATTTTATGTGCAACAGCAGCGTGCTGTCTCAGTGGCCTTACACATGATTTTAAATCTATTTTTTTCAAACTTTATGATTTAAATGTGGATGATTGTACTGAGAATAACTTTTATCTTTTCTTCAACTGAATACTGTTTCCGTGCTGTTTTGATGTATTTTAAAGAGTTGTCAGTCAAAATTAAAACTGCTGGATGATAGATACTCGTCATTCTTTGTGACAAACAAGATAATGTGAATTACAGAATGTACAACGTTTTTAAAATGTATAAATTGCGGTGTACAGCGTTTATTATGAGGGGGTAGAATTCACAGCTCAGTACTCACTACTCATTAGTACTTTTAAATAGGCTACTCTTTTACTCTAACTCAAGAAGTTTTTTGGACAAGTACTTTTACTCTACTCATGCTACAGTTTTTGGAAGGTAATGGTACTTTTACTTGAGTATATTTTTTCAGTACTCTTTCCACCACTGCATACCATTAAGAGCCGTGTGCTTGCACAGGTTCTGCGCGATCCTCTTCACTAATATCCTCTGCGTCTCAATCGGGCTCAAATGGATAAGCGATATTGATGACGCCATTGTTTACAATACAACCAGAGCACATGCCACTGAGGTGAGGGGCGTGACGGTTAGACATGCACTGGCGGTTTAGCGAATCACAACACACTGGACTAGCTAACCAATCAGAGCCCATTGCGTATTTCTGAGGGAGGGGCTTCATAAAAACAGGAACTCATTGGAGCGTTCAAAGGAGAAGGGACAGAGCGGTGTAGAATAAAGGTAAATAATGTGAAATATATATTCTTTTTTTTAACGAAGCATTAACACATGTTAGACTGCACCCCATAAACACAATCAAGCCTAGAAAAAACCCAGTCAACCAC